GCCCCGCATGGCGAGCCCGGCGCCGTCTGGCTTCCCCGACGCGCAAAAAACAGCCGCCTGGACGCGTTCCTGAGGAGGCATCTGCCTCCCGAGGTCTACGATGCCATCCGCGCCTACGAGCCGTGCATCGTGGTATCCGACTCAGAGAAGCACACCTTAAAGTACGTGGTGCTCAGCGACCGGCTCATCTACCTGACCGAGAACCCGCCCAAATCCATCCGGCGAGTCGTGGCGCTGCGGGACGTCGTGGCCATTGACCTGGTGAGGCGCACGGGAGGGCAGCGGGTTCGCGAGAACCCCCTTCTTGGGGCCCCCAAACCCTCCTGCACGCGGGAAGGACGAGGAGGACCTTCCCCACCCCGCCCTGGACTCCCGTACTCTTTATTTCACTTAGCTAACAGCCACACAGGGAATCTGTGGATTGCTGTACGCACTCCGAATAAAGATGCCTTTTCCGTTTTCCTGTGTACTCGCCATCCCCTGTCCCCCTAAATAGGGCGACAGATTTGAGAACATAGCCCACTATCGAAAATATGCTTTAAAGGCAATCCTTCGTTCATTAAGCACCTAGCCTATGCCGGGCACTGTGCTAGACACTGAGGATGCAAAAATGAAAGGGTTCTTTCCCAGAAGCTGCTGTAGGAGGGACAGAAAACCAACACCAATACAAATAAATACCATTTGTAAGTGCTATTATGCTTTGTTTACTTTTTTCTAATCCTTAGGGCTTACAGCCTGTTAGGTGTTCAGTATGAATAAGTGAATGAATGAATGCATGCATGCATTAATAAGATGTACATTGGACGCCTGGCAATCTCAGGTGGCTTACTAGATCCAAACTGTGTTCAGGCCATGCTGGGAAAACTTCCTGGAAGGAGTGTCATTAGAGCGGAGCCTTTAAGGAGATACTACAATCTGTCCTAGTTTTTAGTGTGCTGCTACTGTATCCCTTTTGTCCAGGAATAGATTTACCTTATAAACCAGCAACCGCTTGGAAGCAGTCTCCTCTCCAGTTACTGTTTTTCCCCCTTGGCTCCGTTTGTCTCAGCTGCTCTCCAGGTGTGTTCTTCCTTTTTTCCATTGGAGACAGGTGTCTCGCCTCGTTTTTCTTTCTCTTGCCTGAGTCTCTGCGTCCCCCCAAGGGAGTGGCTGGTGAGACTCTTGATGGGGCTGTTTTGCCAAGAAAGTCATACCTTGTTTGGAACACGTCTGTAAGGAAATAATAAAATTAAATGGAAAACAATTTTTTCTGACACATTGTAACTGACTATACTTGAATAAAAAAATTAAATGCAACAAGTAAATGCTTTCTCTACTTAAAATACCTCCGTGGCTAATGTCACTATGCAAATTTATTTGCTTCATTTGAGCAAAAGTTGGAGGTAAAACTGCCTTTTCCTCACTGCTACCACTTGCATTCTCTTGAACTAAATTTTAAAAAAATTTAAATTTATGACTGTTTTAGAAAATATTAAATGTTCAACTTTTTCTAGTGTCTGCAGTGTATAAACATTTATTCTTTTGACAGAAAAGTATTGTTATTCTCCCCAAAAAGACACAGTATATGTATTTCAATAGTTGTTATGTATCTTTCTTTTTAAGTTGTCCAAATCTGCAAAGTACAGAAAGCTCCCTAGGTCTCCTAAGCCAAGAATCCTATAGGAAGGCAAACCAATTTATTTAGTGATGCTTTATGTACAAAATTGACCTTTCAGGCATATAGAAGAATGTGTAATGTCTATAAAGGTGCTGAACAAATCTAAGCATTTCAGCAGCATGATAAATTGAATGTCCATCTTACATGATATATTTTAACTTTGGTTAAAGTTGTGGTGGGCAGAATAATGGCTTCCAAAAGATATCCCCAGAACCTGTGAATAGTTTATGTTACATGGCAAAGGGGAATTACAGTTGCAGGTGGAATTAAGGTTGCTTGCTGATCAGCTGACCTTAAATTAGGGAGATTTTCTTGGATTATCTGAGTGGGGCCAATGTAATCACAAAATCCTCAAAAGTGGAAAAGGGATGCAGAAGAGTCAGCAAAATGATTCAACATAAGAAAGACTCGACTGATTTTGAAGGTGGAAGGAGACCACCAGCCAAGGACTGTGGGTAGCTGCCAGAAGCTGGAAAAGGCACAAAAACAGGTTTTCTCCTAGAGCCTCCAGAAAGAAGACAGTCCTGCTGATATCTTGATTTCAGACCAGCGAGACCCATTTCAGACTTTTTTTTCTAAATAATATGCCCGTTTCTATTTTCCAGCTTTTTTCCTATTAATGTGCATTTCAATTCTGAATGTTTCTTTTAAGTTTTTTCTTCTTACAAAAGTAGTACATACTCACTGTAAAAAGTTTAGGAAATGCAAATAAGCAAAAATAAGATAATCTGAACCACCATAGTTTCACCACCCAAAGATAACAGTGTTCATGTTCGGATACATATGTTCCAGGCATTTTTCTGTGAATTGATATACATATATCATTTTAAAATAATGTGATCATAATAAACACAAGGTTTTACAAACTGCTTTGTTTCCAGTTTCAAATATAACATGCACATTTCTCCATACTATTTATTTATTTATTTTTAAATTGAAGTGTAGTTACAATGTGTCAATTTCTAGTGTACAGCATAATGTCCTAGTCATGCACATAGATACATAATATTCATTTTTATACTTTTTCATTAAAGATTATTACAAGATATTGAATATAGTTCCCTTTCCAGCTTAAAATCTTTTAAAATTAATTAATTAATTATTGTGGGTGGAGGTAATTAGGTCTATTTATTTCTTTCTTTTTAGAGGAGGTACCAAGGATTGAACCCAGGACCTCATGCATGCTAAGCATGTGCTCTACCACTTGAGCTATACCTTCCCCCCACCAATTTTTTTTTTTTAATTTAAGTCTAGTCAGTTTACAATATTGTGTCCAATTTCTGATGTATAGCATAATGTTTTGGTCACCCATATACATACATATATTCTTTTTCATATTCTTTTTCATTATAGGTTACCACAAGATATTGAATATAGTTCCCTGTGCTATATAGTATAAACTTGTCATTTATCTATTTTATATATAGTAGCTAGCATCCCATGTCAGACTTCTGACCCTAGAACTGTAAGAAAATAATTTTGTGGTTTAACGCTACCAAGTTTGTGGTTGTGTTACAATAGCAAATAGGAAATCAATACAGAAGTGTTTTCCTCTTATGGTGTTTAAAAAGGGGTAAATGTTTAAAAAAATATTGTTTCAGTGAGAAATAAGTATGATCATGCCAAGCACAAATGCCTAAACAATCCCTTTTTCTTAGTTTTTATTATAGTTATTATAGTTCAGTGGCTTATACTAAGCTCCATAGGGTATGTGAAAAATGGGTGTCCCAGAATTACTTTATCTAGTATCAGTTAATAACCACACATGTAGTTGACCAGTCATCCCTCTATGAACACCATGTCTGTCCTTAATCCACGTGGAGAATTTTCCTGATTTCTGTGTTATGTCATGTATAGTTGTCCTCCTATCTGTTACACTGGATTACATTATTTCAGCGCCAGGCAGCTTTGGTTTTTTAGAACCAGTTCCTCCTTTCTTGAATGATAAACTGTTTAATCTCCTTTTCTACTAGGGTGCTGTCCTCTTCCTAAGGCCACCTCTTTAGACATCCTCTTCCATTCTCAAAGGTCTTCTCATTTTACAGTACAAGTTTGTCTCTTGTTATTTAACTTTCAGTTGGCTCAGGTTCCCACTTGGCCTTTGTTTTTACCTTCCTGTCAATAAAGTTCCTGAGCAAACCAGTCCTTTCTGCCCCTGGGCCCCCACCCAACTTGTTCCACATTCAGCCACATTTCTCCACTGAGTTCATGTCTCACGTTGCAGCTACACTTCAGGGAAAAAAATCTGCAGATACACTGATAAAATTCCATCCTCTCCCTAAAGGGGAAAAAAAAAATTGAAAGTAACAGCAATAAAATGTTAGACCAGAGTATAGAGATGAGATTTCCCTTCCAGCAAAGACAAGCTTGATGTGCACTTGAAGGTCTCAGTAGGTGGTTTTTTTTTTCCAGAACAAATTAATGTCATCAAAATACCATTCTTAAGCCCTTCTAAGACTAGACACAGTTTTCAAGTGTGAGAACCAACTATCTGGGACACTGAATTTTCCTATGGATTCATGCTCCCTTGGTGCCATCCCATCACCTACAGAAGAAAAAATACCTGTCACCTCCAGCAGCCCTCGCCTCTACTCCTTGCTTTTCTTTGTCCTTGTCTGTTCACCACTTTCCCCAGTGAGTGTCTGCTCTGCAGCCATCCCAGGATCCACGTGGATTCCCAAACAGGCAGCAGATGGGCCTTTTACTGCCGGGCCTGTTTGCTGGCAGTGTACTTACAATCCTCCTCCTTCTCCTCCTTCTCTTTCTTGATTTAAATGTGTAAAAACCATTCTCAACTCGGACAGAAACAGGTCACGGGCTGTGCCGAGGGGACTGCTGTAGTTTGCTAACAGATCCCTGCTTTCCCCTTTCCATGTTTAGATCCTCCACACTTTCTAGGTTAAGCCCACGATGTTCTTTCTCCATGAAGGGCAGGTCTTTTGGTCTCATTTGTTCATAGCTTTATCTCTGGTTCCTAGAACATTGCCTGACACAGATAAGGTGGTCAATAAATAGTTCTTAAATATTCAGCAGCATCTGTCTCATCATCTCTCAGTTTATGATCTGCAGTACACATTGGGCATTTAATAGTACATTTTTATTCAGCTTTTGTGTTCCACCTGTGTGGATTTGATGAAGTTATTCAACCTCTACTTTGTGTCTCCATTTCCTCATCTGTAAAAATGGAGGTAACAGCATCTTCCTTATAGAGCTTAAAACAGCACTTCACACATACATGTTTCATTATTATTAATAACATTTCTTCACATATATGAAGTCAACTAGGGCTCACTGTGAATCTGTAAGATTGGTATTATTATCTCTTCAGGAGATTTAGTAAATTTGGGGGAAAATAATTGGTTTTTGAGTATTGATTAGGTATTAGGTGTTTTAAAATATCTCATGTATTCTTTTTGAAAATTTGCCCATTGGGTTTGTATAGTTTAATATGTTCAAAGACAGAATTCCTGATCTCCAACCCCTAAACCTGTTCTTCCCTTAGCTTTCCCCTACAGTAAGGAGTAACATCGTCTTCCATCACTTTTAATTCTTTCTTTCACTCCCCACAGCCTGCACATCAGTATATCCTCTTGACTTGTGTAGAGGAGGAAAATGTTTCCCTCAACCCTCTTAGGGACCCTGGCTAGGTCTGAAAATTAAACTGACAAAAAAAAAAAAAGATTAACCAGAGGAAAGTGTACAAACTTATTTAGTATAAATGCTACATGGCATGGGCGCCTTTATAAGGAGTGAAGTCCCAAAGAAACAGGTAAATCTGTATGTGTTTAATACTAGATTTGATGCAGAACAGAGAGTTGTAGAAAAATGTGATAGTTCAAAAAATTCAAAAAAGCTAAGGGTAATAACTGGGGAAAATTTAATAAGGCCCGTTTGTTTGGAATCATCTCAGCAGCCCTGTCTTGGAGATAAGGCTGTTCCTCTTCTCTGGGTACAGGAAGCGACCTCATCCATGAGGGTAGGGCTGGGTAAGGCCAGAAAGTCTTTCCTCCATCTGCATTCTCTTGAATTCCTTCAACTCAAAATATTCAGCATGCCAAGGCACCCCATTTTGGGGTAGTGTGTTCTGAACCCCATCACCTGTCTTCTAAAAGATACCTAACTACGACCTTCTTTCCCATTTTTCTTACTTCTTTTTCTAGTACCACTTGTCTAATCCCTTATCTACTATTGAAATTATTGAAATTGCCTCCAAACTGATTCCTCTCCACATAGCAGTTGAGATGATCTTTTAAAATATAAATTACAAATTCAACTACGTCACTCTTCTGTTTCAAAGTCTCCATGAACTTGCAGACTCCTTATTGCCTACAAGAGCCTCCATGATTTGACCCCGCCATCTCTGACCTACCTCCTACCACTCTTCCCAGAGCTCTTTCTGCTCTTCTTCCAGCCTCAGGGCCTTTGCACTCGCCATCCTAGCTGGATCAGTTTTTCTCAGGTCTTCAGTGGGTTGATTCTTACTTGTCAAGTTGTGTTTACAAATTCAGCATCACCTTCACAGAGATGCCCACTGTGACCATTCAATTTAAAG